ACTACATTCTCCTGTAGTCATATATCCAGGGCCGGATTTACTCTCTCTGCTGCCCCAAGGCCAGGTTCCTCTTCCCGCCAACCCTCCCCCACGGAGAATGGCAGACCTGCAGGCTGCATACAAGTGATCTCAGCGGCATCATCGAGATCACTTCTACAAAACAAGTGGCGGCATCCGCGCTGTACATTTAGATCTGCTTGGCCAAAGCAGGGCTAAATGTAGAAAACAACTACCTGCCCAGCGCCCGGAACTGCATGTCCTGGGCATCGGGAGATAGGAATTCCACACCCCTGCTGCCCCTCTACTCCCTGCTGCCCCAAGGCAAATCTGGCCCTGGGGACACAGGTCACATTTGCAATCCATGTCCACTCTTTGTTCAGTACTGTTCTTCTGAGAAAATGGTGAAGCCCCAGTATCCCTGTGTCTACTCATCTTCATAATCACATGCAGTGCTAAGAGCCAAGCATCGATTACATTAATTGAGCAACATAGGGGTTGTTGACTTAACAAAAATGAGCCTATGTGAGCTGTAGAAGAGCTTTTTCTTTTTATCTTTGGCAGAAATCTTTGTAAATGTTGATCTCGGAGTCCCATTCAGGATTATTCCTCTTATCTTAGAGAAAAGAAAATAGTATTTTTCTGTGTGCCAAAGCTTAATCCGGCTCATGCTGGGGAGAGAATGTGTGGCAGGTCTGGGTGCGGGGCAGTGGTGGACTGACCTAATTTAGCTCACCATTCTTAAAAAGAACCAGTCAAAATGATGCTAATGCAGGAATTTGTCTTTATTCATTATAATTGTTCAGGCTTGAAATATTTAAAAAACTTTTTTATTATTTTGTCTCAGCTTGAAGCTTTAGCTGGAGTGTCAACAGGTCAGAGATCACCTGAAGTCTGACATTCGCTGTTAATCAGGTATCTGACCTCACACACTATATACTCAGAAGTTGGGAGACAGTGTGTGGCCAGGAGGATGACAGACCAGAACTGTCAGACCTCCTATGTCAGCTTATTATTTCATTTATTTCACATTGGGGTATGGCTGACCATCACCCCGCTGGTGAGATCTTCCCTATGCTCCACCCTTCTGTAAGCCTGGCTAAGCATCTCCCTCTTCAGTCCCCAGTACCTGAAAAAATATACATGGCAGCAACAAGCCAGTAAATCCTAATTGATTTTCAGGGGATTATGGGAAGTTAATATAAATGCAGATTGCTGATTGCTATGTTATCTGTTTTATAGATATCTTTACAGTCCAGCTTTAAAATAACATTATTAATAAAATAAATAAAAAGGCAGCTACTGCTACAATACTTACCTTATTTCCAGCACCGCTCCTTTTCAGGGTTGACAGGTGCCCATTGTTATTCAACCTACTTTCGATGATTCCAGAGTATCAAGGCCATGCGTCCTGGGGGCTGTGCATCATCATGCTGCCCTAGCAGTGCTGTTTTAAAGAGAATCTTTAGTGTTTATGTGTATTAAAGGTTATTCTACTATATACATACTACTAGTTATTTAGACAAATATGGACATTTGTAAATTACCACTTGCAGGCAACAGGGGGAGCTTCAAGCAACCTTTAGATGGCAAAAAAAATCATAGAAAGCAAACATTGCTCTAAGCAGAAACCTAAATCAGTCAGAGGAGGGGCCTTCCCTAGATGACACAGTCTGCTAGAAAGAATAAAGCTGGTACTGGGCTTTCTTACTGCACTGCAAGCACCTGCTATACACCGAATAATGAATGGTTATTTGTAAAGTAAATATTTTATACAAATAATAAAAAAACTGGATTATAAAATTCCCCAAATATTTACCCGGGAATCAAAATTTCCCTTTAACTAACGACCTGTTCAAGCTTGTCTTTTCCCTATATTAAGACACATACATATTACTGCATGGAAATGTATTTTTTTTTGTAGAAATCCTATTTATTGCTTTATGCCTAGTTCTATCCATGCACTGCAGCTCAGCGAGTTTTTACAATATAGGAAATGTGGCATTTGCGTGTGTGTAACTGCATTAAACAGGCCCATTAAATAAGCACACTCACTGGTGCATATTGTAATTTGGGCCATTTTTTGAACCATCCCTATTCCTAATGTTTTTCAGTCACTTTGCATAATAAAACACATGCATATAAAAGCACTAATGGGTTAACGCTTCTGCGGTGTGGATGGACTGTGTGCAGTAGTCCAGGTTCATTGAGCCATAAGCCTCCACACAGATCTAGTATAGCGGGTGCCAGGGAGAGCTTGGCAAGGATGTGCTCTAAACACTCTTGGCAGCTTATGCGTAAACGCCCTGGAACTACCATCCATCAAATAGTTGTATTCATGCCTGGTATATACCTCCACTTACATCAGAAATTAGTTTGGGTACCCTTATATTCTGTACGCTATATTCTATATTTAAATAAGTAATGAAGCCTCAAAACATGACCTGCCACAACCTTTCTACTTAAAGTAAAACTTTGCTTTCATTATGCAAAAACAACAGGTTAACTTTAAGGATGACCCCACCATCTGCACAACCTCACCTCCCCTTCACTCAATTGTCACTCCATTGGACCATTAGGAGAGAGGAGAGGAACCCCTGTGTAAGCTCCAACAAGTTGCCACTGGGAGCTTTTACAGGCATGAAGACTCTCTATCAATTTGCAAATCTCAACTGAAACCATACCTCCCAACTTTCTGAAATGATTAAGGGGAACATACCGTGTTTCCCCGAAAATAAGACACTGTCTTATATTTTTTTTTGGCTCAAAAAAAAACACACTAGGTCTTATTTTCGGGGTATGTCTTATTTTTTTTCGTACACTTATTCATGTAGAAAAGTCTACATGTATTCATGTACATAAATATGGTGATCAGGGCAATCAGGGGTGCCGTACCTTTCCAAGAGCAATTTGGTAACCAATCGCTGGCCAGAATGAGCGAAGCGCACTTTCACTATCGATTCCTCACAGGCAGAGCGCATTGGGTCTCACTAGCCCTGTGACAGGAGCCGGCGCTATAGAGGAGGCATCGGCTTATGCAGCTCCTCTCCCTCCGGTGCCGCCTCGATTCCTCTAGCGCTGGCTTCGTTGGCACCGCTGATTCTCTCCCGCGGCTCTTCAAGTTCCCCCTTATGCCACCACCGGCCCTGGGAATGGTCATAACTAGGTCTTATTTTCGGAGTAGGTCTTATATTTTAGCAATTCCCAAAAATAGTACTAGGTCTTATTTGCAGGGAAACAGGGTATTTAAACATAATGGGGGGGATTTATCAAAACTGGAGCAGCTGTGCATGGCAACCAATCAGCGTCTGTTTATTTTTCAAATTTTAACTGAACAAACTGAAGAGAGAAGCTGATTGCTTGCCATGGGCAACTGCTCCAGATTTTGTGTCCCAACGCATGTAGGCAAAAGACACACCTTGCTTGCCCCCCCCCTTAGTTAAGCAGAACAAAAAGACTAATATGCAAAATATTATTGGATAATACCAAAAGTGTTTTTGTAATTAATTTTGTAGACTGATCACCAACCATCTCAATGTACAAGTTGTTTCACCACAACTGCTTTATGCCAGCTTTTCAATATAACAAATGCAATCATTTAGTAGCTGGATAAAAGGTTTAGTGAAGTATAACTTTCAGATAATTTATAGAGGGATATACAACCAAAAAGTGGGGCAACTGAGGAAGAAAGACAGACAGAGGGATTTGGTTCCAAAAGCAGGACAGTTGGGAGCTATTACTTTTTTGTAAATAAAGATCTCATCCCCTCAAATTGTTCAGCAGTTTCTAAAAGCTGCTCCAAGCAGCAATAAAATGAGGGACCAGCTATCATTGCTGTGGAAGATCTGCAACTCTGTTTTCCTTTTTTTTTCATCCTTTTTTACATCTTAGTGCTGCTAAATTTCCTTTTGCCTTTTTCAGGTACTTTCTGCCTACATTAATTCACTCCAGTATCAACTGCACATCATAGCTCTGACCTGGCTTCCTCCTAGTGACATCAGTGGACCATGATGTTTCGTCCTAAATATAGGTGAAACATGCTCTAAAAAGTAAAAAAATTTTTTATGGAAACCTGCAGAATATTCCACCCATCCACTACCACGACCACTTTGCGATCTTCAGTGCACTTCAAACTTTACTTTTTGTGGCTCCATGTTAAATGAATACCAGAGCTGCATTAGCCACTCAACACAGTGTTACCAGTGTTTGTCATTGGATATTAACAATGTTATTCACAAAAGGGTGAAGAGTTTGGAGAAGGCAGGAGAAGTGAACCATCTAGGACAACATAGCTGAACTGGAAAGTGAGCTGAATTGGAGATTTTTTTCAAATCAGATTTTTTGGCCTAGAATGTTAACTTCTCCTGCCTTCTCCAAACCCTTCACCCTTTTGTGAATAACCCTGTTAGTCCCACACACATAAACCAGGGCCAATTTAGACAGGAGCCAATTAACCTATCAGTATGTCTTTGGAATGTGGGGGGACATGCACACTCCGTATAAATATTGCGCTGGCCAGGACTCAAGACCCCAGTGGTGCAAGACATAAGTGCTAAGCCACTGTGCTACCTGTGAAAGAACGTTAAAACTTAGATTAACATGTTAAAACTTAGATAAGAGCTTAGTGACTGAGTTTAGATCTACTTTCATCTGAGTTTTATGTGAACCATTGCCAGAGTAAGTTGGAGATTTTCACAGTGCGTCTGCTCGGACTTCAGTCTTTCATCACAAGATTCCATGCTGTGTAAACTCCCTGTATGATAACTACACAGGACAGTACATGAAGCTAAGGAAAACCACGGGCCTTACAGAAACTAAGGCTTCAACAGCCACTAGGGTTCAGATAGCAGAGCAGCCAAAGGCACATAGAAGATAAAATTACGAAAGATTCAGAAGGTACACTCATCTGTTTAAATGCAGAATTTTGTGTCCTGAAGACGTAAATCTTCTATATAAAGTATAGTATAGTATAATAGTAATTATATCTATATAAAATCACTTACTTCCAGGTCCAGCACATCGTCCTCCTTCACGTCACATGATACAGTGTGAATGTCCTTCTCCGGAGTAAACAGTAACTTCTTACACATATCAGGGCTTCGCTGGGGGTCCACAAAGGTGGTCTCTGAATAGTCCTTTCCCCTCCACACTCTGGGATCTGCTGATCTCCAGAAAGCCACATCTGCAAAACTCCCACTCCCAGAATCCACAGTCCTGCGCAGGCTTCCTGGGTCCAGGAACTGTTGGCTGAGTTCTGCTCCCTGCTGGGAACGGTGTGGGAGACATTTCCAAATGAATCCTCCACCTCCACTGTCTTTGGAGAGGAGGGGGGTCAGCATGCCTGATCCCACAGACCTGTCCAGTAAAGGATGTTGTAACTCATGCAGACACTCCATTTCTGATCTTTGCTACTCTTGCCTCCAAAGGATTCTGGGAAAAGCCATTGTCCATTAAGCAAATTTGGGGTGTTGTCTGATATGTGAAGTGGCCTCAACTTCTACATCTTCTGTGTTCATGCCTCATGTTTTTTTTTTGTTACAGATTGGTCTTTGGACCAAACAGGGATAGTCACTTCAGGCTTCCACAAGCAAGCAAATTATATAATTGTTTTCTGTGAGAAAGGAAGGAAAACTGTGTTAGTATTCTATTCCAATCCAAGGCACAAAGGGAGCAATTAATATGATAGAAACAATAAGAAGCCAAAGCATAGTTTGTATATTGGTTTGAGCCCATTGCAGACAGACTTAGAGTAAAAGCTAGAAAACTACCCAACTTTTTAAATAGGCAGTGCAGGGAACAATGAGAATGAGGAAACCCATAACACAACCAATCAAATTTAAGCTTTAAGAAATTACTTCTTACTGGATGCTGGGAGGATTGTGTCACCAAATACTACTGAGGTATAAAAGGAGAGGAAGGTGTTGATGGATTGTGATGTTTAGGGTTCACCAAAGAGGCCAAGTCGTGAATTAAGGTAACTCGTCAGGACAGAAATATGTGCGCTGCCATCACTGACCTGTTTTTTAAGGTGCATTCTTCAGGGCTGGTAGCCAGTCACTGAACAATCATTTGCATATCAGATGTTCCAACACCTGAAAAGCACCTACTTGTTCCAGATTAGGAACTCATGCGGTAGTAAAAAAAAAGGATAAACATAACAACCCTGGACTTCAGTGCCAACTTAATCGGGGAAAAACAACAGCAATTGGACAAGGTCTTCTAACCGGTACGAACACTGTTTCCGAGCAAAGGTTTTTTTTAGGTTGTGGTGACCCTCCTCCCCATCGCACTCATTCTGCAAAAATGTAATAATTCCCTCACTCCATCTAATGCACCCAACCTCCTCTTTTCATGTAATACTTTCTGTTCCATCCAAAGTGTCCTCACCTCCCTTCATTCTCTGTTGTTGCACTCCTTCTTCCCTTTCACTGTCAATGTGACCATTCTACTATTTAAAGGCTAAGTGCACCTTTCTGACCATGTTTCATGTTACACCCATATTTAGGGAACATGGTCAGATCACAGTTGCCTGGCTGTTATTGATCCAAAGTCTTCAATGTTTTGAGACTCTGACCCAGGACAAGAATGCAGAGTAGGAGTTCTGAAGTTCCTATGAGCTCAGTATCTAAATGCACCCTTCCTTTATTGTCCAAAATATTGTCTTCCTATTAATACGAACATTTTTTTGGCTAGCTAGAAGCCACATCTGGATGGGCCCACAATTCCTTCTACACCCACATTCTTGCTGTGCACAGCTCTAGAGTCAGGTAATGATATTCTCAGCGAGAGTGTTTTGTTCATCATGTAGCAGTGGCAGCTCTACTCTATAGTAAGGAGCTCAGAGCCACAGACGCTATATTTAGTACACAGTGTGATTGAGATCGCCTTCATACATATGTTATGTGACGTCTGTTCTTACTCTCCTCAGGATTACAGAAACACCGGTGACATCTATGAGTTAAACTGCAACATGCCTTCTCTATACAGTGGAACGGGACTCTAAAAGTGAATATTTGCTGTTATAGGGAACAACTATGAATGTTGATTGTACCTAAGTAGTAACCTGAGAAATTTACCTTTTGTCTAAAATGCAGCCTTTAAATCAGCAGAACACTTTCTAATAGAGGTGAGGATGCCTGGGCACTCTTGTACCTACAGTATTATAGCTGTATATCTGCAGTTTGAGATCTCAGGTTGTGCTACCGCTGGTTTTAGCAGATTTTGAGTGAGATTTGGCGATGTGACTATTAGGCTGCTCACTGTTCTCATTGCTGGAGACTCTGATATGAAGAAGGAAAGCCCTGCCTCTACTAAGATGGCTACCTCCACACAGAAACCCAGTACAAAGTATGGTAAGTCAGTAATGGGTAAAGGATCAGCTGCAGGGAGACCACAAACAATACTGGTTCTTTGTCCTCTGTCTGCCTTTTTTTTTGAGTACAGCTTCCAGTGACCCTGTCTCCAATCTATGGTCTTAAATTGCACTGTTACCTGTAAAGAGGAGAATGAAAACGTACCACCCCTGCTGACTACAGATGTCTAATGCTACTCTGTTCAGTTGAAATTATTCCCCCCAAAGTCTACAGGGAAGACAACACTTCAAGGAGTGTTGATCTCCTGGGTACCCCGCAGCTCTCTCTGATTCCTCCCACTGACCTCCATTTATCATTGGAGACAGTAATGACGTGGAGGTCAGAAAAGGGAACCAGTTACAGCTGTGGGGAATTCAGAAGGCCGACCCTCCTGGAAATGTCGGTTTTCCAGAGGACTTCAGGAGACAGTAACGACGTGGAGGTCAGCAAGAGGAACCAGTTACAGCTGTGGGGAATTCAGAAGCTCGACACTCCTGGAAATGTCAGCTGAGATCCATTTTTTACTGAACAGAGCATTGTACAGTGGCCCAAGGAGCAGGGGAGGTAATGTTAGTGTTTCAGCTGTGCCTGTTGCATTCCCTATATTATAAAATACATTTTAAAAGCCAACAGGAAGACTTTGCTTTGGCCCTTATAATGCCCTCAGCAGCTGTGCAGACCTAAGCACTTGAAAAGATCTCCCTGATAAAAAACCTACAACATAGTCGGTGGAATTAACTCTCCAGCATCTTCCATCTTCTTCAAAATGAATGGGCTGCAATGGATCTCATCTTACCAAAAAATAGGTGCTGTCTGCATTTTTTCACAGCACAATGGAACTAAATGCACAGGACATCTAGTGCATTGCAGCAAACGCATGTTTTGGAGGTGCATTAGGGTGCCATTCACAGTGAATGACACTGCAGCATATCAACACATGTAGCATGATCTACTACAATGCAAGTAGTGTGAATGGGCCATGATATGCTTACTGACATTAGATGGGGCCCAGGATTTGTGTACAAATAAAGCAAGTCTCCCTTCAATTACTTTTTTTTATAATTTATTAACCTAATGTAAACATGTGTTATTTAAAGTTAAAGTAAAAGTTTCTAAGCCATTTTAGATGCTGGGCCAAGCTTCAGTATCTTGCTAGTCTCACAATACCTGAACAATCTGATTGGATGTAGTCACTGTTCAGGTATTTTGAGAGCCAGCGGGGCCGACTAGCAAAATACTGAGGTTTGGCCCAGTGGGATATTCCTCCATCCACAAAGTTTAGCGTAGATGGAGGAATCTGTTGCACTTTTTCCCACTGACCATAGAAAATCTGCAGATAGACTATAGGCATATGGCCAGCTTTACTCTTTAGGCCATCATGAAAACATGGAACAGAAAACACTAAAAATTGTGAAAATCACAGTGAGGGGGATTTATCAAAACTGGAGCAGACAAAATTCGGAGCACCCGTGCACGACAACCAATCAGCTTCTCTCTTTTATTTTCAAATCTTTACTGAACAAACTGAAGAGAGAGGCTGATTGGTTGCCATGAGCAACTGCTCCAGTTTTGACAAATCCCCCCCCATTGACTTTCAGGTAAAGGTTGCATTAATAATGCTTTCTCATAGGAAATACACTACTGTTGCCTTTAAAGTGTATTTAGAGCCAATGTTTTTTTAAATTAGGATGAAGAAGAAAAGGGTTAAGACCCATGCCAGTTTATTATTTGATGTTTCTATACCATTGGGGCAATTTCCCTTCACTTTCGGTCACAAAGGGAAATTCTACTCCTAGGGTAGCCATACACGGCTCGAATCTTCATGTTGAGTCGGGCCAAATTCGAACATTGGGTGGCCCTGTCGACACCGAATGAGAAACCGAAGGTGTCACGACTAACTGAATACAATAACCAGTAGTGTAGATTCCATCTATACAGCATGGATAGGGGAATTGAGAGATTTGTATGGTATGAATGAGAGAAATCTACACGTTTGGCCTACAAAGATACTTTAAATCCTGCAACATTCCAGCTGCAACACGTAAAGGGCAATATAAACATTGTAGAGAAATGGTGGTCTCAGATGAAACCAGTATGCTTTATTCTACGATGGAAATAAGAGCGTGTACGGGAATTTCTGAGGTCCCTGGGGCAGCCCCCGTTATGGGAGGGAGCGTACATGATAATCTGTCAGTCAGAGGCAGAGCAAGGGAGCATAAAGAGCAAGCAAACCATGTAATAAAATATTAATAGGCTTTTAAGGCAGCTGTCTGCATGATGGAAGCTCCGGCTCCATCGCTTCGTCAGTGCGTGGAACTGCGAGGGTGCACATAACATCTATCTCACTGCTGGAACATGACAGCGCCACGTAGGCCTGGATGAGGGGGTGGGTGGTTGGGGGACTGCTGGCCCCACATTGTCCCCTGCTCTAATATGGCTACAAGAGATAATTCAGTATTCACAGACTCACTATATATTCTCTTTGTTGTGTCAGAAGCGTTTAATGCCTCACACATTCTTCGTTAGTGTGCTGGGAAGGCCATTAAATCTCTCCATGGTTGAAAATCTTCCCTGGCTCCTTCAGCGTGAGTTCACTGCGGGTTCAAAAGGCCGCCAGCAATATTCACACTTCACTCCACTTCTAACCCTCTTTTCTATAATTCTCCTGCAGGTTCCAGGATTGCTCTGTTGCAGCAGTCTAGTCCAGGGGTAGGCAACCTTGGCACTCCAACTGTGGTGCCTCTGCCTTTGGGAGCCATGCCTGTGGCCATCGGAGTCTTGTGATGCCTTGTAGGATTTGAAGTTTCACCACAGCTGGAGTGACGAGGTTGCCATACTCCCAGTCTAGTTATTTGATATGCCTAAAGCTGGTCATATACCTATAGGTTATCCGCTGATTTTCTATGGTCAGATGGAAAAAGTGCAACAGATTCCTCCATCTATGCTAACTGTGTGGATCGAGGAATCTCCCACTGGCCCCGCTGGCTCTCAAAATACCTGAACAATACCCGCATCCAATGCCGCTAAGCCAGCGCTGCAAATGCTCCCTCGCTGGCCGTACCCCTTGCCATGACATCACACAGACAGTGACATGGGCACCCAAAGATGGAACCCGCTGGATGTAAACATAGGAAGAGAGAAGACATTTTTTTTTTTATATGATAGCAAGAAGTAAATCATCACCTCAGTTAGTGTCAGGTGGGCATATGTTCAGTGACAGTTAGAGACGAGCTGTGAATCTTAGAGAAAATAAAGAGCG